TGTCAGATGTAACTTTTCTGTGCATGGACCCTTACTGTGAAATGAGATCCCAGAGATGTTTTGGGGTATAGATGTATAATCCGATCGACATTTAGTATTTTTATTAGGGTTTAAGATCAATGAAGGAAAGTTGCTAGAGAAGAGTAATAGGACTATACCTGATGGGAAGATATTGGCTTGGATATTTGTGAGAAAATGTATCTGTCAAGCTTCTCTGAGTGACAACAATAACGAAGGAGTCTCAGAACTATCACTCACATTGAAAATCTTCTGTAGGGCTTCTAAAATACAAGCTAAATATCCTGTCCATAGCAGCTGTGTGTGAAAACGCCTATTTTTTCTTGAAAGATTAAGGAGGTGTAATATCATTCTCAGGAGACAGTAGTGCTCTGACCACATGGAGCACAAGACTGTCACCAGTGTAAGGCACAAATGGGCAAAGTCAAGCTTTGCAGCAGTACAAAAGCAGCTGCCCTCCATAGAGACTCGTGTCTCAGCTCAGCAGCTCTTGCTGCTTCAGAGAGGCTGTAGGAGCCACTTGGCTCCAAAAGGAGAGACAGCAGAATTGGGGGGTTATGATGCAAGTTGAAGAATGACTGCTGTGTTTCAGCCAGAGCTTGGCCAGCTCTGTCTGACTCCAGCAACTGAGAGCTTAAGGACAATGAATCAGCTTTGCATCTTGTTTAGTTTCTGTGTTGCATTTCCTCCTTCTTCAGAGTGACCAAGCTAAGAAGGGTTGCCTCCTTTCATGCTACACGCATTCCCTCCTTTCTCTTTCTTCCTCCTCATATGTTTATTTTCCTCTATTTTCTCTAGGCCCGGATCCAGCAGCAGAAGCAAGGACATGGAATATCAACATACAGGTAGGTACAGGACATATCTGTCCTCAAATGGGCACTGGAATTTTGATTCAGAGGTGACATTTTGAAAGCCAGGTTTAAAAATAATTCTTTACAAAATTTCTCTAAATTGTTTTCAATTCCTTGATGGGCTCAGTGGACTCTTGGAGAGCCCAATCACTGGGAGTGTGCTATTGTGGTACAGTGAAAATTCCTCCAGTGTGACAAGTTGCTTCGCTGAAGCTAGAGTGGTACCTTGGGGCCCTGGAAATGCAGCACAGGAAAAGGAAGCATTCCTCTCCATGCAGCCCATGCTCGTTATTTCTCTGAAGCTTTTTTAGTGTCACAATTAGTAGAGAAAAAGGAGGCATTGAGCATGAAATGAGAAATTTTCTCACTCCTTCGTCCTGCTCTTAAAGGAGAAAACCTTTCCTTGGGGCACTTGGTATTTGGCAGGAAAGCAAGCAGGGAATAAACCCCAGGGGCAGGGAATCTGAGCAAATTGCAATGTTCGAAAACCAATTTGTTTGCACCACATTTGGGCTCCTTGAACACTGAGGACATGTGAAGGGGAGTACAAAGGTTCATTCACTTCTAACATGGGGTGCCATTGTTCATGTGCCAGCACCTCCTTAGTTGTGAAGAGAAATAAAAGCAACCAACAAATCCCCACCCTGAACTGAGTGGGAGTTACAGAAACAAGGGCGATGAAAACGAGCTTTGCAAAGCAATGACTTCCTAGGTGTAGTTGTCAAATTCTGGAGACCACTGTGTCTGGCAACTCTTTTGGAGGAAGGAAAGAGATCCCAAAGAGTGTTCCTGTGGTAGCTCTGTGCAAGTGGGGCAGGGTGTCCCCTGGCCTGCCTCAAGTGGCTGCAGTCAGGAGCAGGTTTCCCTGTGCAGCTATTTAGAAGTTTGCAGCAAGTCTGTCCCATGAAATATGGAGCTCCAGATGCATTAGGTTTGCACTGCAACCTGTGTTATATTTTGTGTCTCCACTTTGCAGGACTTACTGGCTACCCTCTTGCCAAGAGGATTTCTCTGGCAAATCCTTCTGTGCTCCTGCCCTCCAAGCCAATGCCCCTCATCCCAAGGAGCTCTTCCAAGCCAATGAAGAGTTGCAGTGGAGAGCACGTTACTGGGAAAAGTGGCACTGGCAATGACGATGACACCAGAAAAGAACAGGAGTCACGTTCAGAGGGAAAAGGACGTAAGGTAAGGAGACCAAACTAAGTCATGTGTGGGAGATTTTCAGTTTCTGTGCTGTAGACAGAGCTCGGAGAGCTTTCCCTGTGGTGTGATCCCAGGGAAGCTGCTGAGCCAAGGAAGAGCTCAGCTGGATACTGCAGGTCAGCATGCCTTTGCAATGGGTGTGTGGTGCAGACTTCATGTCCTCAGCATCTGTCAAGAGCAGGAGAGGCCTTTGAAGGGTTTCTGGGCTATGCCATGGTTCCTCCTCTGTCTTGTGGCTGAGAGAACACCCAGAAGCAGTCAGAGCATGTAAAGTTGTCCACTCTGGCCAAGCAATCCTTCTACATTTAGTAACCTACGAGTATCTGTGAAGTATCTCTGTGTCTGGGTGGTGTTTTGTCTCAGCTGTGTCTGGTTGGGATGTTTGCTGGAACAGGCAGTCCTGCACAGTCAGTTCCAGGTTGTCTCAGCTTTGGAGCTGTACAGCCATGGCCTTCTGCACAGTTGTCTGTGATGTTGTTTCTAGACTTCATCAGCTTCTGGGCAGCTGTGTGCTCTGGCGTGGCTTTGTCCATAGGGAAGGGGTGGGAGGTGGCCATGGGGAGAGCAGCCCAGAGCCCAGCCACACCATTAGCTTTGCAGCAGGGCCAGGAGCTGCAGTTGTTCTGGGTTTGCCATGGGGTGCAGGAGGAGGCAGATGGACAACAGCTTTGGCAGACTGAATGTCCAGTCAAAGGCTTGGGTACTTGGTCTCAGCCTTGCTGAGAAAGGGCCCCGTGTATCCCTGACAGGAACTGATGTTTTTACTGAAGATTGAACAGGTCCTGATTTGGCTTTTTAGCTGTGCCAGAAATGATGAGATACTAAGGAAGGGTGTGCATCTGTCCCTGCTTCCTCCACCCCCCTTCCTGGTCATGGCATGGGAGCCCTGGAGCAACTTGGGCAGGCAGAGACCTTGCATAGAGCCGCAGATCAGAGAGCTCTGCTGAACTTCCTAAATGCCAGTGAGCCTGAGATGCTGGATGTGTGGGAGCTGGAGAGCTCTGAGCATCCTGAGAGCTCAGCAGCATCTGGCCTCAAAGGCTGCTGGGGAACTGTAGGAGGGAAGGGCAGCAGCAAAAGAAATGAGGGGCTTGAGAAAAGCAGGTTTTGCCATCCTGCAGAATGGCTTTGTGGGGATGTGGCTGGAGATCAGCAATGGTTGTTAGGTGCTTTAGGGGCAGGGAGTTTATAGGGATATAAACGCCTTCCCATACATCCAAAAGGCCAGTGGAGGCATCGTCACCTGAGAACATCTTGATGTCAAACCTGTGGATAATTCCCAGCTGGGAATGCAGTCACACTTGTACAGAAGTGAGCATGAGGGGAGAGGTGGTAAATGTGTGACATGATCTCTACCCCACCACCTGCCTGTCCTAGGGCACCATTCTCCATCCTGGGCCAAGCTGCTCCATCAGTCTGACTGGTCTTTTCCTGCCAGGTCCCAGTGAAGTCCATAGCTGAATGTCTTGGGGCATGTGTGGGGGCAAGACTGAATGCGTAAAGTGAGCACTGTGTTCTACTCTTTGCAGGCTTCCTTGCTGTATCCCACTGCAGGGGATAAGAAGAAGGGGTCACTGGGACTGTCTTTGATCCCCCAGTTACGCAGGGCATTAAGCAGTGCTGCAGGATCTCGGAAAAGCTCTCTGCAGCTGGATGTGCAAGAGTCCCAGGAGATGAGGTAAGTCAAGGTGTCTGCTGCTCCAGTGTGCTGTTCACCTCGCTCTTCCCATCTCGTGAGGTTATTTTGCACAGTCAGCTCTCCCATGTATTTAGGCAAACCTCTGTGTATTCAGCATTTGGCCCTATCTGTGGTGATCCAGCCCAATGTCAAACCCAGCACCATATGGCCCAAGAGCAGAGGTGGTGGTGGGGAAGAGGAGGCAGGGCTGAAAAGCTCCTCAAGACAGGTCCTCTTCTGGACCTGGCTGTTGATTCCCTCTGTAATGTTTGTGGTGTCATTTGGGAACTGTATTGCATGGGTCTGGATGCTGCAGATCTTTGAATACTGTGATCCTTCACTGTCAACTTCTGCAGCCACATTAACATGTTTGGGCAAATATTGGCTACTTTAGAGGTGTCTTGAAATTTGGGTGTTGTTTCTGTAAATGTCAGATGTAACTTTTCTGTGCCTGGACCCTCACTGTGAAATGAGATCCCAGAGATGTTTTGGGGTATAGATGTATAATCCGATCGACATTTAGTATTTTTATGAGGGCTTAAGATCAACAAAGGAAAGTTGCTAGAGAAGAGTAATAGGACTATACCTGATGGGAAGATATTGGCTTGGAGAAGTGTGAGAAAATGTAGCTGTCAAGCTTGTCTGAGTGACAACAATAAAGAAGGAGTCACAGAAGTATCACTCACATTGAAAATCTTCTGTAGGGCTTTTAAAGTGCAGTCTGAATATCCTTTCCATAGCAGCTGTGTGTGAAAAAGCCTTTTTCTTCTTGAAAGAGCAAGGAGGTGTAATATCATTCTCAGGAGACAGCAGTGCTCTGACCACATGGAGCACGAGACTGTCACCAGTGTAAGGCACAAACAGGCAAAGTCAAGCTTTGCAGCAGTACAAAAGGAGCTGCCCTCCATAGAGACTCGTGTCTCAGCTCAGCAGCTCTTGCTGCTTCAGAGGGGCTGTAGGAGCCACTTGGCTCCAAAAGGAGAGACAGCAGAACTGGGGGGTTATGATGCAAGTTGAAGAATGACTGCTGTGTTTCAGCCGGAGCTTGGCCAGCTCTGTCTGACTCCAGCAACTGAGAGCTTAAGGACAATGAATCAGCTTTGCATCTTGTTTAGTTTCTGTGTTACATTTCCTCCTTTATCAGAGTGACCATGCTAAGAAGGGTTGCCTCCTTTCATGCTTCACACATTCCCTCCTTTCCTCTGTCTTCCTCTTAATATGTTCTTTTGTCCTCTATTTTCTCAAGGTCCACGACCCAGCAGCAGAAGTGAAGATGATGAATCTGAAGAAGGAGGTTGGTACAGGGCATGTCTGTCCTCAAATGACCTTAAGAATTCTGACACAGAAGTGATATTTTAAATGGTTGGATAAAAATAATTCTTTCCAGAAATTCTTTAAATTGATTTCAATTCCTTGATGGGCTCAGTGGACTCCTGGAGAGCCCAGTCACTGGGAGTGTGCTGTGGTGGTGCAGTGAAAATTCCTCCAGTGTGAAGTGCTGAGTGGCTGGAGCTGGAGTGGTACCTTGGGGCCCTGGAAATGCAGTGCAGGAAACGGAAACATTCCTCTCCATCCAGCACTTGCCCTTCATCTCCCTGCAGCATTTCCAGTGTCACAGTTAGTAGAGAATAAGCAGATATTGAGCATGAAATGGGAAATGTTCCCAGTTATTTGTCTTACCCTTGAAGGAGAAAACCTGTCCTTGGGGCAGTTTCTGAGCTGAACCCTTTGAGATCTGAAGGAGATTCATGGACATTGCCTGGTTCTGCACTGGGAGAAATAGGGAAACCTCCTCTGAGGGAAAGTCCTTGTGAAATTTCCAGTTAAGGAGAAGGAGGTTTCCAAATGGATGCAGCCTATGCAGGGTCTGAGTTTGTCATCCTCTGACAGCACAAGCCCAAAGCCACCTATGGCAGGTTCACCATGACAAATCTCTTCCCCAGCTCTCTCTGCCTGGGTCAGTGCTGCAGGCTGAGGCTGCAGGAGGAGATGCCTTCTGCCTTGTCCCTCCCTGCCTGCCTTGCCTGATCCCTGACAAGTAGAATTGTGCCAGACAAAATGCAGTCTCTGGTGCATCTGTGTCAGCCAATGCTTTCAAGTTGAAAGCCTCAATGAAAGTCAGTTGTTGTTCCTTTTTCATCTCTGGGCATTTACTGTTAGGAGAGATGAGACTTGAAGACATAATTTTGCTGCTGCAGGAAAAGGGATCAGATGTCCTGGTCCCTTTGCTCAGGGTTTGTTCTGCCAAATCCTGGGTACAGCCCCTTTGGAAAGACTCCTTAATTGCTGATATGCAGCTGCAATGCTGAATGCAGTTGGGGAGAATTACTGCTCAGTATTGCTCAGGTGACATTTTTGCTGGATTAATTCTGGCCTAGAAATTACCTACCTCATCAAAGGTTGTCAGATGCTCTTTTGTAAATGATGTCACCATTGTACTGGTATAAAGAAACACAGATTTTATCCGAGTCTTCTTTTTATGCTCTACACTCTGCTGTTTGCATTTAGGAAATTCTTAATGGTTTTTAACTGCCATGATCAGAAATGTTTTGTTGCAGGTGATCTTTGTGTTGGTATTTGGCAGGAAAGCAAGCAGGGAATAAACCCCAGGGGCAGGGAATCTGAGCAAATTGCAATGTTGGAAAACCAATTTGTTTGCACCACATTTGGGCTTCTTGAACACTGAGGACATGTGAAGGGGAGTACAAAGGTTCATTCACTTCTAACATGGGGTGCCATTGTTCATGTGCCAGCACTTCCATAGTTGTGAAGAGAAATAAAAGCAACCAACAAATCTCCACCCTGAACTGAGTGGGAGTTACAGAAACAAAAGGCATGTAAAAGAGCTTTGGAAAGCAATGACTTCCTAGGTGTAGTTGTCAAATTCTGGAGACCACTGTGCCTGGCAACTCTTTGGAGTAAGGAAAGAGATCCCAAAGAGTGTTCCTGTGGTAGCTCTGTGCAAGTGGGGCAGGGTGTCCCCTGGCCTGCCTCAAGTGGCTGCAGGCAGGAGCAGGTTTCCCTGTGCAGCTATTTAGAAATTTGCAGCAAGTCTGTCCCATGAAATATGGAGCTTCAGGTGCTTTAGGTTTGCACTGCAACCTGTGTTATATTTTGTGTCTCCACTTTACAGGACTTACTGGCTACCCTCTTGCCAAGAGGTTTTCTCTGGCAAATCCTTCTGTGCTCCTGCCCTCCAAGCCAATGCCCCTCATCCCAAGGAGCTCTTCCAAGCCAATGAAGAGCTGCATCGGAGAGCACGTTACTGGGAAAAGTGGCACTGGCAATGACAATGACACCAGAAAAGAACAGGAGTCATGTTCAGACGGAAAAGGACGTAAGGTAAGGAGACCAAGCTAAGTCATGTGTGGGAGATTTTCAGTTTCTGTGCTGTAGACAGAGCTCGGAGAGCTTTCCCTGTGGTGTGATCCCAGGGAAGCTGCTGAGCCAAGGAAGAGCTCAGCTGGACACTGCAGGTCAGGCTGCCTTTGCAATGGGTGTATTGTGCAGACTTCATGTCCTCAGCATCTATCAAGAGCAGGAGAGGCCTTTGAAGGGATTCTGGGCTATGCCGTGGTTCCTCCTCTGTCTTGTGGCTGAGAGAACACCCAGAAGCAGTCAGAGCATGTAAATTTGTCCACTCTGCTCAAGCAATCCTTATAAAGCAATTCCTTTAGTAACCTACGAGTATCTGTGAAGCATCTCTATGTCTGGGTGGTGTTTTGTCTCAGCTGAGTCTGGTTGGGATGTTTGCTGGAACAGGCAGTCCTGCACAGTCAGTTCCAGGTTGTCTCAGCTTTGGAGCTGTACAGCCATGGCCTTCTGCACAGTTGTCTGTGATGTTGTTTCTAGACTTCATCAGCTTCTGGGCAGCTGTGTGCTCTGGCGTGGCTTTGTCCATAGGGAAGGGGTGGGAGGTGGCCATGGGGAGTGTTGGGTTTAAAGCAAGATAAGCACCCTGACCCACTCCAGCAGCGGCTATCCCAGCCGCGCGGACCATATTCCACAGCATCAATGTGATGGACGACAAATATGGCGATTTATTACAGGGAAACTTAACATTTTATAGCCTGGGTTCACTGTGTTACTCCCATCTGCATACGTCACACCTAGGTGCTATTGGCTAATTGCAAGAGAACTTACTATCTTAGCAGAGTGGGGGTCTGCTAGCTTTCCGTTACATCCCGAGTTCTTCCGCAGCGCCAGGCCCTAACTACAACATATTTCCCCCCTCTCTATGACTAACTAATTTGCTAAAATATAAGGTGTATTAGTCTTTAAAATTCTAATGTTATTTTATATATGTATCTCTAAACACTTTATTTATTTATCTTTATTAAAAAGTTTTTAAAAGTAAATAGTATAAAATTGAGTAAAATATAAAATACATTATACTTAACTAAAAACTAAAAACTTATAAAATAGATAATACAGTTTTCATTAGTAAATATAAAGCACATGCAATGACTAAGTATATTTTTAAAGCTTTTTTTGCTTTTTTATAAACTGAATGTTAACTTTTTCTAATCGGTTCTTAACAAAGGGCACAAGCTTATTCAAAATACATGGTCCAAAAATTAACACGAGTAAAATCATCATAACTGGTCCAATCAGGGTAGACACCAGGGTGGTTAGCCACGGAGCTTTATCGAACCAGGATTGGAACCAGTTTTGCTGAGCTTCTCTTTCTGCTTTTTGCTGAGACAGCCTGTCTCGTAGTTCTGCCATGGTGTCTCTCACTACTCCGGTGTGGTCAGCGTAGAAGCAGCATTCTTCTTTCAGGGCGATGCAGAGGCCTCCTTGCTGCATGAACAGAAGGTCAAGACCTCACTTTTTAGTCATCTGTAGCTAAAGCAGTCTCTGTTGTTGGGTCACGATGGCAGAGACACCTGTGGCAGCACCAGCTGCTTTCAGGTTAAGCAGCACTGCCATGGTTACACCTGTCACCACTTCTCTTTTCTGAAGTTGGGTGAGTCTCTCCACTTGCAGGCTCAACTCTTCATCCAGGTGGTATAGGACTCTGGGGATGATAACAGCTAATACACAAAAGTCAACAGAGGAGTTTAAACTTTGGGTATAAATGCAAGGGCTAGACTATTAGATCATGGGTTCTCAGCCTGTACCACAAAATTGGGGCTCACTGATTCAGGTGTTATACCTATAAACAGCACAGTTACCATAAGCAGCTTACCATGTAAATGACACCATACTTGCAAACTCACAGCTAAAACTTTAACGTTAAATGAACTTTCAAAGATGCTTACACTACTTCTTAAAGAAAAATACTTATACTTTATACTAACATAACAATTACTACACAGGCTAAACATTTTACCTTAAACTATTATCTAACTACTTTTAATACACGTGCTCTGGTATATATGTAATCTAAGCGTGAAAACAATTTGCTAAAAGGATAAACACACAATTACAATTTGCTTTGTATATAGTTAGATGGAGTCTCTACACCTCTCAAATCTTCTACAGAATTTTTCCAACACGATTCAGTCCTGGAATGTTCACTGCTCCCGTGATGTCAGCTGGCAGCTGATCGGTGACTGAGGGTTTTGATGTTCAAGTTGTTTTTCAAACCCTTCTAAATCTTAAAACAAAGGATAACTGAAAAATTGGTAGAGACACAACATCATAATAACAACATAAAATTTCTGTTGGTAAACTGTGTAGTGTTCAGACACAACTGTGTCCTGGCAGCTCCACTTCTGATCCATGTCTGGAGCACCAAGGCTGTGTGATGACTTCTCTGTTCACTGGATCTCGTGTGTTCAGAGACAGACAGTCTGGTCAGATGGACAGGTGACCTTTCTGAACCTGCCAACAAAACACAGGCACTTCTCTCCTTGAAGTTAATGAATTACACTAATCAAATTGCTTTTAGGGTATCAATTTCCCCCCTTTTCCTTAAAAAATAAAAATGAAAGATATTTCTGTTCAACATTAACACAAAACTTTATATACAATTAGTAAGAACTTATAACAGTTGAAAATCAGTTAATATAAAAGTACTATTAATTATTAAAACACTGCACCAGCATCTCATAGTTAATAAACAAACAAAACCAAAAATTATCAGTGAAGGATTGGACAACCAGTCCAGAAATGATTCTCCAAGCCTACTTCAAAATTGATCCAGCTGTCATATTAATAGGGTCAAATTGTTGAGTTAAAAGGTGACTCAAATACTGATTTGGTACAAGAACATCTGGATCTATTGATAAACATTCTGTCCAGGTAAAGTTAAGACTTGGCCAGGGTCTTAGACTTTAAACTGGAAAGATGTTTCTTAACTTATTTTTAAAACAAGGTTTTCAATAGCAACAGCTATGAGATGCTTACAGCACAGCAAACTGTTATAATGCATTTGTACAAAGCAAATAATTAAGAACTTTAGATACTAGACGAATTAAATCATTCAGCAGTTGGTTTAATTTGAAGCTTCTTCAATGGCAGTTAATCTTTAGCAATGGTACATCTTACTAAAATTCTGGAAACACTGAAAAATAAGAAGTTATAACAAACAAAACTGCAAAGATTGCAACAATTCATAGAGCTCTTGATGAAATCAAGGGTGTCACAAACTGTATTTATTTTTGTCTACAAGCAGGTGGTCACCAGTGGTCCATCACAGTTGCTTCAGTTGTATCTGTCTTCATATTTCTAGGAAAACAACTATACTTTGCAATTTAGACAAGTGTTTCTAATAAAACATAAAACAATTTAAATTAAACAACATTTAAACTTAACAATAATTATTTGTAACAAAAGAAAATAACAAAACTTAACTTTTAAAGAATATCTAAGTTACACAGCTTAACTAAAAAACATTCAAGCTAACGGTAACATGGATTCACTATAAAAATTATAAAAATGTAACAAATACATCACAATTCCATGTTATCTAGCTTTGAGAATAACTCACAATAACTGCAAATGTTACCAAAAACACTCATTCACAACAAGAATTTGCCTAGTATATGTTCAAATTAATTAAAATTCTAAAGTGCAGCTTCTCTAAAGAAAAGCCACAACAACACAGGATTGGGCAAGTTGTCATTTAGCTTTTGTAGCACTTCTCAGAAACATCAAGTCCAATTTTTAAACTAAAATCAAAAATCCAAATTGGTATATATGCTGTTATATGTGTTTTATATAACAAAAAGATTCACATTAAAATTTCTTTATTAAAATTGTCAAAAACTCAACAAATGGATAATACATGGTTAACATAACTTTGAGATTACTAAAACAAAACAAAAATCTTTTAAGTTTCTTGGGATACAGAAATACAACATTTAAACTTTTTAATCTATTTTTAAAGGCGCTTCATTTAATAGAAACTTATTTTTAAATTTCAATCTTGATTGCAACAATTTGCTGATTTACAAACAATACAATTTATAAAACTTTTAATTTTTGAATTGTCTAATTAAAACCCTCTCTTTTTTATCCCTCTCCAAAATATACAGCTTTTTGTTGTTTTTTATTGTTTTATTGCTTTGCTTTCCGCAGTTTATTGAAGTCACTGTTACTTGTTTCACCGGTGGTTGTCTTGGCAACAGCGTTTTGCAGTGTGTATTTTTTAAAGTCATCGGCGCCGAGCTACTTTTTAAATCTGAGAAAAACTCTGAAAACTCTAACTAGATAAACTCATAATTACTCAAAACACAAAATTAACTCTAAAAAGATACATAAACACCTTTTAAAAACTCAGTAAATTATGACTTTGTAACAAACTCGGTATTATCCCAGCGCTTCTTCTCGGGGGGGTGGGCCTGGTGAACCGCTCGTGTCTCGGCCAAAGTCAGACCTGGCTGGTTACTTCCTGTTTTCTGTGCGTTTTTCTTGGGCCCCGGCTCCGCTACCACCCCTGTGGGCAGGCTGCTCCCTCCCCCCCGGCTCTCCACGCCTTTCCTTCCACCCTCCACTCCGCCTTTTACCCCACCTTTCCTTTCGCCTTCTTCTCCTCCTTATCTCTTTGCATTCCAATCTCTGTGTCTCTGTTCCCATTCGCCGCGTCTTATCTCTTTCACTTCACTTCTTCACATTCCTTTTCTCTCCCATCCCCCCGACTGTGCCCACCTTCCAAGGCCAGATTTAGTTCTTTGTTAGAGACATATTTTCCCGCGCTACAATTTCTTTCTCTGCACCATCTTTATGACTTTGGGGGGATGCTTTCTTCTTATTTTTTCTGCCACACCTCTGGCTATTTCTGTTAACTTTTTCCAAAAATCTTCTGCTCTTCGCTGTTTCTCTGAGAGCAGATAAG